TATGTTTTTGGACTGTGTGTGCATTGTGAGCTTGTGTGCTAGAGGTATGTGTATTTTCTTTTTTAATCTGTTTGCATCTTATTTGGGACTTGTGATTAATGTATTTGTTGGAATTCTCCTTGACTTTGAGCAAAAGAGGATCTGTGTCAGCCAAGATGATCTTGGATGTGAGTGCTTCTAGAACTTTTTTGAAAGTTACTAGCATATATCACTGGATTTTATAAAGTTCTTATGTTTTAGAAACATGTGTCCTTATAATAAGCATCTAAGGTAAAAAGAAAATAGATTTAGGTTCAAGTGTTTGCCATCAGTGATTCTGATTGAAAAATATGACATTTGAAGGAATTTGGAACAAACTTCAAAGACTAAAATCCTTTCCACAGTAGATGGGGAGACTAAGGAGATGTTTGGGGGGAAAAAAGAGATGGAAAAGTTTTCAACTACTTGGAAAATTGTACAAACTCTTTAGTCAGAGAAATGTAACATACACATTTCTGTATTTAAATGCTATCAAAGAAATTTAAAATAGCTTTGCAGTATTACCTTGTATCTGTTAAATTGGGGAAGAGGGTTAAAAATGGTTGAAATCGGGGTCAGCCCATGCAATGGAAAATTAGGTACGTTATTAACACTACTTGTGGAACTGAGTTGGCACACTCCCTTTTAGAAAGAAATGTGGCATTATATGATAAAAGCTCTACAGCTCTTCATGCCCTGTGACCCTAATGATCCTGCTACTCAAACTGTATGCTAAGGATGTAGTTAATAGAGCGGAAAGAGATTATTCATCTGTACAAAAATACTAATGTCAACGTTATTTGTAATAGCAAAAAACTGGAAATAATCTATGCCTTTGACAACTGGGTATGGCTAAACAAATTGCAATATAAGAATTTAATAAGAATAAGAATATGTCATAAACAACTATGAAGAATACAAATAAACATGGAGGGGCAACTAGGTGGCACAGTGGATAGAGCACCAGCCCTGGAGTCAGGAGGACCTGAGTTCAAATCTGGCCTTGAACATATAACATTTGCTAGCTGTGTGACCCTGGGCAAGTCACTTAACCTCAGTTGCCACACGCACACGCACGCACCCCCCCCCCCCCAATAAACATGGAAAAATATGTGAATTGGTATAAGAATAAAGAAAGCAGCACTGGCTACAACTATATAAAACAATGATCTGACTAGCAACAAAACCCTGAAAAATATGCTGAAGCAGGACATTTTTGTTATTGTTCTGTTACGGTTAATATACACCTCTCTCTGTCTCTCTCTGTCTCTCGCTGTCTCTCTTGCTCTCTCTCGCTGTCTCTCTTGCTCTCTCTCGCTGTCTCTCTCACTCTCTCGCTGTCTCTCTCTCTCTCTCGCTGTCTTTCTCGCTGTCTCTCTCGCTATCTCGCTGTCTCTCTCTCTCGCTGTCTCTCTCTCTTGCTGTCTCTCTCTCGCTGACTCTCGCTGTCTCTCTCTCTCTCTCTCTCTCTCTCTCTCTCTCTCTCTCTCTCGCTGTCTCTCTCTCTCTCTCACTGTCTCTCGCTGTCTCTCTCTCGCTGTCTCTCTGTCTCTCGCTCGCTGTCTCTCTGTCTCTTGCTCGCTGTCTCTCTCTGTCTCTCTGTCTCTGTCTCTTTCTCTCTTTCTCGTTTTAAAATGTGTTTACCCCATTCAAAAGAGAAGGAAAATAGGGACTGTCTCCATCTGGCAGTTCAAAATGAAGTATAGACTTTTCTTTCAGTCAGATAGTATAACATCTTAATATGTGCTTTTAGCAACGGATTTCATTTACTTCTCAAAACAAATATGTAGTTCTTGTTTAATATGGATTATTATCTTCTTTGCTACATCTGGGATATCTTGAAGTTTTGGCTCTGTGGCTTTGCTTAGAATGAACATTTTAAAATTAATGATTTCGACTTTTATCTTTGCTGGATATTGATGGTGGATTTTTAGAGCATGTGGGAATGTTTCTTTTTTAAGAACTGGAAGTTCACTAAGCAGACAGCCACCCTGACCAGTACTTATCAACCAAATGAACTGTTTGACCTCTCTGATGGGAGAACTTGCTTTATATTGAATACAACACTCTCCTGGTATTATACAAGCCCCAGGATAATGTCTGCTAAGTCATGGTTGCTGTATTCATGTCTCATTTGGGGGGGAACCTCTGTGCCTTCCTTCTAGCCAATTTTTCTAAAAATAACATTGAGTGCACTGTTTGTTTATTCACTTAAACCATCCCAACACAGGGTTGGGAGGAAGAGGAGAGAAATATTTCCTTCCTAAGCCTGTGCACTGGTTCATTTGATGCTTGAATTTGTATCTGCACGTGGCCTATTTTTTGACCCAGGTATTCCAGGCATGAACTTGAGTACCTTGCATGATGTTTCAGGCTTCCATGGAAAATGAGTTATGCGTTTTTCTCTTGGCGACTGTTTAGGGTGGTAGAGATTGCAGCCTGTCATTCTGCCCACACCTCTGCTGCCAAGACCCAAGGTGGCCATGTGTATATGTGGGGCCAGTGTCGAGGCCAGTCGGTGATTCTTCCTCACCTCACCCACTTCTCCTGCACAGACGATGTGTTTGCCTGCTTTGCCACTCCTGCTGTGACATGGCGCCTTCTCTCTGTAGGTGAGGTAAACTCAGGAATAAGTTTCAAGGGTAGCATCATTATGGGGAAATAGTGCTAACTGCTTTGAAAAGGTTTCTCTTACAGGGCTTCTGTATCCTTATGTCTTGTTTTTTTTTACTTAAGAAAGATGTGTTCAATTCTTTTTGTTGTTTTCAACATCTTTGGGTGCCTTACAGATCTGTATATAACAAGTCCTATTCACATAATGTGGAATATTTCTCTAATTTTTAAAGGCCATTGTATATTACACTTTCACATTTTGGTCAAGAAGAAATGAGAACCCTGAACTAGGTTGTCAGTGGGGATTTGAAAGAGACTGAGGACATAGAATCACTAAGACTTGGAAACTAACTAGATTTGAGAAATGAGAGAGAAAGAGTACTCTGTCAAAGATGACTCTGAGATTATACGGCTGAGTGCCTTTGTATCACTGATAAGAATTCACATTTGTGTTTTGGCAGGTAGACATTTGGTCTTGAGTTGAAGGTCCTAACCACATCTACCTGACTAGGACCAGACCAGTGAGGAAGGAAGAACAATGCTTCTTGGCATTGGAGCCAAGGCTTGTTTATACCGTTCTGGCCTGAGCTCTGTTTGCCAGGGATTGTTGCAGAGCCTTGTTTTGTTCTGAAATAATTATCCAGTGCTTTCCAATATAGGACCAGAATTTGAACTTTACAGATATTTGCATTAATAAGCACCTCATATACTATTAGATGCTTATCTAAAATATTTGAAAGGATTTGGCAGCTGTCAATTATCCTAGAGAACCAAGTGGAGTTCTCCATTGTGCTGATCTGTTCCTGTAAGATGATCAGTAAATAAAGTAGTTTTGAGATTATACATTTTACATAATTATACATTATGTGGTTGGCTGATCTTCTGCAGAACATGAAGACTTTCTAACAGTTGCAGAGTCATTGAAGAAAGAGTTCGATAGTCCAGACACTGCAGATCTGAAGTTCCGAGTGGATGGAAAATACATTTATGTCCATAAGGCTGTTTTAAAAATCCGGTATGGTCATGTAAGCTCTAGCAAGTGAATAACTGTATTGCAGAATTATTGTTTAAATTTTTTGCTGTTTCAAGGTTCGGGGCTTCTTTTGAGAGTATTGGTATCCAATCTTCAGACATGCATGTGATAGTGCAGTTTAGCCCTTTGAGAAAAATTTTGTTGACACCTTTTATTTTGACGTCATAATGATTTTTGGAAACCACCTCTATTTTCCACTCCTAGATTGAATGCTTCACTTGTAACAAAGCAAAACAGTTGAGCAAAAACACCCAAGATAGTGACCACATCTGATAATGTATGCAACACTCTTCCCTAATCATACTCCCCATCCCTCTGTTAAGAGGAAGATGGTATGAATTTTACTCATTTTTATTCAGTACAAATAAAACTTTACTTTTTACTGACTTAGAGGTAGGGTAATATTGTGTATACATTTTATGTCTGGGGTGATTTTTCTCTATGCCTTCACAGAATCATAAGAATTTTGTTTTGGGGAAGAAATCTGTTTACAGGGCGATTCTTTAGAATTTAAGGGAGCAAGAAAGGAAAGCCATTGTTGATTGGATTAGTAGCCTTAAAAGAGGGAGCAAAAAGCTTAATCAGTGTGGTAGTTGGAGGGAATGAACTGTCTGAAAACTATTGCTATTGGACTTTTCAGATGAAATACTTTTGTGTTTAATTCTAGTCATCCTTTTTATTTTAATTTTTTTAAACGAACAGAATTATGTTTCAGTTTAAACCCTCAGAGGAAACCTTAAAATACTAAAGTAATTAGTAAGTGTGAGTGCTTGAATACTCTTCCTGCTGACAAAGATGCCAACTCTTCTGGTTGGTGACTGAAACAGTTCTTCACCTAGTGACCAACCTTTTGATGATGAACCTCTCAAAACTTTACTTACATAAAAGATATAGTTTATTGCGAGACTGTACTTGAAGCCTTTCTGCTTAGTGTAGGACCTGCTAGAACTGGGGCTCTGTGAGCATACCACTTAGATTTGGTGTGTAGAGTCCACACATTACTGAAGCATTCAGGAGAGAGAGTCTAAGGAAATATCTGATATGTACGCATCAAAGTTGCTGAGATGCCGAATGCTCCTTTTTTTTGTTGTTGTTGAAGCAGTGGGTGAGGATGAGTGTTAAAAGTTGCACATATTGTCAGACTCACTTCATGCGTTGGCTAGTGTTGCTGAACTGCTTTTCTTTGAACTTTCTTTTTTTATTTATCCCAAGTATTGATTTTCTGAGTAAGGAAGGGAGGGGATACATTCGGAAATGAAGATGATGAAAAATAAAATATCAATAAAATTTTTTAAATGATTTTTTTTATTTCAAAAGGAATCTTTTACACAAAGATTCATCTTTTGCTTTTCTTTAAATAAGGATCTTTGAGTAGTTAAAATATTTTGTGAAAAAGCAGGTGAAAGAGAGGCTGGTAGAGCAAAGAAATTCAGTGTTCAGTTGGTAGTGACTTTTAATTTACGATTGACCAGAAATGAATCTAGACCATCTGGGAAAATTTTGTCGGAAAGATGTTTAACTGACTAAAATTCAACCTGTATACAGACTTGTAAGATCACAGTTATTCTGTAACTTGAAATGTAGCTACAATTGAATATTTGATTAACCAGTTCAACAACATGTAGTGCAAATGCTTTGAACTTCCCATTTTCATTTCAGTAGTTTATATTTAATATAATAACATTAGCTCACACTTCTGTAGCACTTCTGTCTCCAAAGGTCTTTCCTCATTACAACCCTGTGAGGTAAATAATGCTGCACATATTCTCCCTGTGTTACGGTGTGGCACAGTGGATAGAGAGTAAACCTTGTAGTCAGGGTGACCTGGGTTCCAGTCCCTGTGTGACTTTCAGCAGTCCACTTAACTCCTCTGTGTTCTGGCACCTCTCTAAGACAGAAGTGCATAGCAGGTGCTAATCTTCATTGACTGAGAGTTCTCTCATTGGGAGAACTCTATACCAAGAAAATCACAGATCAAAAAAAAAATCCAATACAGATGATTAAACTGAGAGACTCTTAAAAGTTGTCACATGCTAATAAACTCTCAACTAGGGAAGGTTCTAAAGGCAGGATTCCAACCCAGGTGTCCTGAGTCTAAGTTGAGTACTGTATATATTATGCCATGCTGCTTGCTTCCTTTTTAAAAGAAGCAGTTGGGATCTGTCAAATGAAGACAGTCCCACCAGAAATTAGTGTTACAGCCTCCTAGGCCACAAGTCTTGATTCCTAGTAAAGTTTAGCAGAAGGCTTGTTTGCCAAAAATAAATTATGTATACCTGCCTGTTAGTGTGTCATAGTGAAGTAGGTATAATATCTGTATCTAAAGTGCTTACAAGGAAAATAGTCCTTGTTTACAAGCAGATCAATAAAAAAGCATTTGAAGTGCTATGTGCCAGGCATTAAGCTGTAAGTACTGAGGATACTGATAAAGGCAAATGTCTAAAAAATGAGATAATCCCTGCTTTTATGGAGCTTATATTTTAATAGGGGAGTGCAGGCCTGGGAAGAGAGCTTTGTTCTAGGGGGTTACAGGTATAACCTGTGTAATAGTGTACCAGAGGACAGGTGAGGTAATAGGCAAACAGCACAGTTCTCAAGATGTCACGGGACTGTGATGTTGATAGATGGCATGTTGTCATATGCATGGTAGGTGAGTGATGTGCCAAATGTAACACAATACGATTATGACCCCTTGAGTGGTGAATCGATACTTCTCATTCAGTGGATTGGCTTATTCACTCACTTGCCCACGTTTTCAGGGCTGGGTTCCCAGAGATAGACTACCACCATGGTATTGTACTCAAATTCTCTTAGGGTCTTGGGGGTAAGTCTGTTGAGGAGAATTTTACTTCACTTACCTGCCAGTCTCTTGAGCCCATGGCTGATTTACTTTCTATCCATGCAACTCAAAATGTAATGCACTCAGATGGTATGTGATATTTATGCACTCAGCCAGTCACAATACTGACTTTTAGACCTTAACAAAAAGACAAAAGAAATAATGTCATAGGTACAAAGTGAGGGCATAAATGATAAAATACATCACAATGCACATATAAACCTGGATCACATTCTTCCACTAATGCACTCAGTGTCTTTGATGAGAATTGGACATACACATGAGGAACACTCGTGCTTAGGGGAACTCACAACTCTGCCATTGAAGTCATTCAGGAACATTTGCACCTCATGAAACTGCTTCTCTCTGCTCGCTGCTTGGCCTCACCACTCTTTACCTCAGCACATAGTCTTCTCCACTGGAATGTAGCATTTACAGTCACCTTTAAAAGCATTTTAGAAAGCGTTAACTTCTTGATATGAATTGCACTTCCCTTCAAGTTCCTCAGACTGGCCCTCCCGAGCAGACCAGCCAGTTAGTTACTCCTCAGGATTTTGTTCAATCAGAACAGAGCTCATAGCAGTACAGCCATGCAAAACAAACCTAGCCTCATCAACAGGAGATACCAAAGCAGCTGCAAAGCTTTTTACTTTCCATGCCACAGGTGGCAGCAGAGAGCAGTAGCCCCTTAGGAGAAGCTTCACGTGGCCCATTCTCTAGGGCATGACATTCAGGCCCACAGGCCACTTACAGTTGGAGCCACTTGTGGTCTGCTAAAGGATTTCCGGCAGCCCTCAAAAAAGGTAAAGGATGTAACTACAGCTCAAGTCATCCTCAGGCCCCAAGGCTGTTCTCAGAGCTAATAGTACTCACTGGTCCTTTAAGAAGAAGTGATTAAGAGGCCTAAATATCCTTGGGCAGTCCTGCTTTGACAGGCTGCAGCAGCCCACGGGCAGTCCATTGTACAGGCCTGCTCTAGATTGTAGGCACGAGATAATGGGTATCACTGAAATTCTTGGCCTAGGAAGTCAGTTCTCTCTCCACCATGCTTAGCGCAGTGCCTGGCCCACGGGGCACACTTTATAAACGTTGATTGATTGGCCAGTGACCCGCTGTCTGGTGTCTGCTGCTGACTCTTTGGAGGGCGCAGGAACATTTCAGTCCCCATGCTACGTCTGCAGTTCTCATCTTGTTCCCAAGTCAGGTGCCCTAGGGTTCCTGGATACTTCGCTGCCGCCATAAATGAGAGCCTCAGCTTAGTGACTCGCCTTTCACTTAAAAATTCACACCCCTGGTCAAGGATTGTTCAGTTGCTTTTTTATTGTGTCTGATTCTTTATGACTGTTTTTGGGGGGATCACTCCGTATATTTCACTTTAGATGTAGAGTCCTCTTAAAATCATACCACTGAGGCAGCTAGGTGGCACAGTGGATAGAGCTCTGGCCTTAGAGTCAGGAGGACCTGAGTTCAAATCACTTAACTAGGCTGTGTGACCCTGGGCAAGTCACTTAACCCTGATTGCCTCACTAAAAAGGCAAAAAAGAAAATTTTTAAAAAAATAAAATACCACTGTCTCCAATATAATTTTATTGTCTTTAGTCATTAGAACAATTATATATAAATGAGTTGAGGTATTCTAATGTCTTGCAGTTCTCAAGGTTTCAATGTGGTACAGTATGTCCTTTATCATCCCTGAAACTGTTTCTCTACACTCATATTTCTCCTTTCTCTGCCTCTTTAGACTGTATTATTCACATAGAAATGAAGCATTATTTTATATCATTCACAAGCCAAATCGAGTAGCTAGATTTGCATCTGAAAGCTGTTTTTCCTTTTACAAATAGAGTGATAGTTTTTATTTTAAAGAGTTTTTTTCCTATACTCTTAGGTATCAAAATACTCATTTATAAGAGCAGTGATATCTTTCATCTGTTGTTAGTGAATCTAAATCTTTTCCTTTACACAAAAAATACTTTTTCTGCCCTTTTTTATCGTTAACTGCACCACATGAAAAGGGCTGTAAACGGGACAGGATACCTTCCTCAGGGATGGTGAACTGATCCATAGGGAAGTCAGTTGATGTGCCCTTTTCTTAAAGAGCAGTAGCAAGGCCAATGTCAAGACTGCCAAGATGGATGTAAGGGGGGGGGATGTAAAGTAAAGATTCATAACTGAAAAGGGAGGGCTTTAAGGATACTTTTCGTGTTTCATGTTTTTGATTCTCTCCCCACCCCCTCCTAGCCCCCTTTTGGTCGGTTAACTTTGTTGTTGTTTTAGGTGCGAACATTTTCGAACCATGTTCCAGTCTTACTGGAATGAGGACATGAAAGAGGTAATAGAAATAGACCAGTTTTCTTACCCAGTGTATCGTGCCTTTCTCCAGTACCTTTACACGGACACAGTTGACTTACCACCTGAAGATGCTATAGGTACATCGTCTATGTTTGACCTGTCTAAGATGTATGATAAATGCTTTCTTGTGGGTACTGTATCATATAGCCTTGAGGTAGGCAAAACTTAAGTTGAATTTTGTTGATTCTCAAATGATCCTACATTTTGAAGTAAACTTTTTTAAAATTAGTATTTTGGGATTGTTGATGCTATTGATGCTGTTAAACACTGAGCTAATGGTCATATTTAAATATAGATGTAGACTCATTAATCCTATAGTCCAAAATGGCTAATTCAGATTTAGGACAGTTATGGTGGGGGTCAGGGTTAGGGAAGGAATATCTGAAATCTTGTAAACAAAAGGAGGAGGAAAATGTTGCCTAGTTGGAAGCAACTACACAGTTTGTTTGGGGCAGAGAGATGGGAAGGGATTGGAGGAGATGTTAATATATTTAATAAAATAAGCAAAAATCTGCCCTTTGAAAAATCCTGCTGACTCGTCTCTGTTCAATTAAAAAATAAAACAGAAGTATGGATTGTTGTGGACTTGATTAACCCTTTCCATTCTTCCTCCCCACCTTTCATTTTAGGTCTTTTAGATCTGGCTACATCTTACTGTGAAAATAGATTGAAAAAACTTTGTCAGCACATCATCAAGCGAGGGATTACTGTGGAGAATGCTTTTTCGTTGCTCTCTGCTGCAGTCAGATACGACGCAGAGGTAACCTCACAGGGAACCCTGAGATCCTAATGTGGCGGCCGGTGTGTTTTCCCCTTCTTCTGCTATATACAGGACTGAGAATCATGATGGGGCAGCCTTGTTTCATCCCTAGGGGTCAGAAAAGCTAAATTCATCAATTGCTAATGAAGGCTAATAAATTCAGCCTTTCTTCATCATGACATGAATAATTTTGATTTGCTCCTTGGAATTAATTTATTTAGAATGTTTTCCATCTACTTGTACTTTTAGCCAAAAAGAGATTAACAAATAGTGACCTGCAGTGATCACTGTAGCTACACAGTAGACTGAGGTTCACAATGTCAAGCCTGAGCAAATTACAGGGCAGTGTCTTTGAGATCCAAGATTGGCTCGTGGTGTAACATGCACATAGTGCTAGACCTCTCCTGCCCCAAGCATGACCCTGTTTGTGAATCTGTTTTCCTTCTAAAAATACTGTTACTGTCTAATTATAACTGATTAACTACTTTTTAAAGAATTTGCTGTGAGTCCCTTTTTAGAGACAGGCTTCTGTATTACATTGGTTGTTTATAATGAAAGAAAACTAAGAATAGTTATCCAGAGAGTGAAAGAGTTTCCTTTTCATTTGTAAAACTAAGAGTATTTTTAAAAATCGCTCGCGTGTAACTGTTTTTCCTTATGTGTGGAGTCATAGCATGGTAGAGTTAGAAGGGACCTAATAGATGGTAGAGTCCATTCCCTCATTTTACAGAAGAGACAGCTGAGGCCCAGAGAGGAATGACTTGCCCAAGGTCATGCACCTCATTAAGCCTTGAGGAATGTACATTGAATACCAAAATTAATCCATTTTTCGTTATATTTAGAAACAGTTGAGTTCTGACATGAATAAAATGCTGAGTTCCATGAAAAACCTGTATGGGGTAACTCTAAAGATACCACATACTGTGGCCAGAAACATGTAGCAGAAGAGAAATGTCACATTTGACATTTGTTGTCAGCGTTGTCCCCTGTATTTTCAAAACACTATCATATTTAGATTTGATTCTTTTTGTATTGTTTTCTACACATTTTGCTGTTTTAGTATAGCTGACTTTCTCTCAAGTCCTTAGATGGGTGGAGCCACCACCAAATCCAGTAGTTTTCCGTTTAAAAAAAAATAAAGCATTGACTAGAATACCTTAAGTAGTATTTCTTTTATTCAGTATTTGCCATTTAGAATTCAAGTTATTATAGCAAAAAGTAACCTGTTTTTTATGTATGTTCATTATAGAATAGGAAGCCTTTGCTGACTCAATAAAGACTTAATTTTAAAACTCTTCACATAAACTCACCTGGGATACAATGGGTCTCTCTCCTTCCCCCCCCCTTTTTTGAAGGGGAGGGGTAGAGCAGCAAAAGGTTAACAAGGCAGGAAAAAAGAGCCTGAATAACTAGTGTATGTATATTTTCATTTCCATATAATTATTGCTGTTACTCCTCTTTAAAAGGGTTGGTGAGATAATTCTGAAGTAAGTGTGTGCAAATAAAATCAGTGTGATATATTGAAGCGAGTTCTTAGGCTGTAGGCTCTCAACCACCATCAAATCCAATAAAAATTATGAGCAAAACACACCCTCTAGAGAAGGTCTTAATTATCACTGTAATATCTATAAATACCTCTTTTTCAAAAAAAATTATTATTATTTTGCTTTTTATGATCAAGGAATTTTGGGGTTAAGTATATATGTAAAACCTATGAGAGTCAGTTGGATGAAGCTGAATAGAACTTCCATTATGTTAATATGTTTAATAAAATAAGGAAAAATCTGGTGGTGAGATATAGAACATCCATTCATTTCTCTAGCTTCCTTGTACTATTTGTTAAGTAGCAGAGTGATCTCTACTTATTTTTCTGCTTAAAAATTTGTTCCTGGGGTCAGCTAGGTGGCACAGTGGATAGAGAACCAGCCCCGGAGTCAGGAGGACCCGAGTTCAAATGCGGCCTCAGACACATAACCCTTAGTAGATGTGTGACTCTGGGCAAGTCACTTAACCCCAATTGCCTCACAAAACAAACAGACAGACAAAAAACCACCTTGTTTCTTAAGGAATATGGGATCTTAGATCTGGAGGTGGAAGAGGCCTCAGAGGCCAATCCAACCCCCTTATTTTACAGATGAGGAAACTGAGGCCCAAGGAGGTGATGGGACTTGTCCAAGATCTCACAGGTAGTAAGAATTGGGTGGGATTTGAATCCAGCTCCTCTGAGCCCAGAGCCAGTGTTTTTTGCAGTTCCATGGTATCTCTACAAGTTTTACTTTTAGTAGAAAGGAAAACATAAGTTTGCTCAGAAATCTTGAATTCTTTTCCCC